GGGAGTTTTGCCCTAACCCACGCAGTCACCTCCACAGCTCTTGCCCACCCCACCCGCAGAGAAGGAAGGAGGGGCGTGACGCGGTCAGGCTGACTCGGGGCACTGCTGGGTTGAGTGTGGGTCAGGGCGGCAGCCTCTCCACACCTGGCCAGTGACCCTGCCTGGACCCTGGGGAAGAACGTGTTTGGGGGCTTCTCACTGACCTGCCAGGAAAGATGCTCCAAGCTGACCTGCAGGGGCCTCCCTGGCGCCTGACACCGATCCATCTCTCCAATGTCAGGTGCGGTGCCATCTCCACTCCCCGCGCACCTTTGTAACTGCCCCTGGAATCCCACCAAGCCCAGCCCTCCACTGCCCTGTACTCAGGGGCGTCCCTCGTTCACTTATAAATTCACGCATGCATCCATCCATCCAATGTTGACGGCCCTGCTCACTGTGCACTGGACGTCGTTCCAGAGGCGGAGACGCTGTGCCGGCTTTCTCCACTTACTCCTTCCCCACAGTCTGTTCTCTGCGCTGCCCTGTGCCCAGAGGGCTGAGCTCTGGAGACTGCATCCGGGGCTCTCTCGCTCCCGGCTTCCAGTTGGGTTCAGCTAATGGGAGCAACTGGAACAAGCTCAGAGGGCAGGAGGACAGGGATCTATTCTTCCGGGTCCGTCCCTGCTTCAGCATGGGTGGTGCCAGCCTCCAAGATGGCCCCTACTGGTCACCTCCTGGCATCTGCCTCCTTCCACTTTGCATCAGGGCTGGCCTGAGTGAGCAACAGAACTAACAGAACGGCAGAAGTGATGGTTTGTGACTTCTGAGACAAAGTCATAAAAGGCACTGTGGCTTCTGTATTATCACCTGCTCTGGGACAAGCCAGCCGCCATGATATGAGGGTGCACAAGCAGTCCTACGGGGAGGCCCTCAGGGCACGGAGCCGAGGCCTCCTGCCAACAACCCTGTGACGTGCCATCTTGGAAGTGGACCTGCCAACCTCTGTCAAGCCTTCTGATACCCACAGCCCTGACGGACGCCTCGAGAGAGCCTAGGCTAGAACTACTGAGCTAAGCTGCCCCTGAATTCCTGAACTACAGAGACTGTGCAACAACACGTGTCTGTTGTTTTGAGCCACTGAGTTTGGGGATAGTTTGTTACATGTCAATGGATGATGCAGTGTGGTTCTGGGCCCAGGCTTCTCACCCTGGCTCTAGCAACACAGCTTCCCTGCGGCCCCTGCAGTGTGGCAACTTCCTGCCGCTGTGAGGCTTCAGGCTTTGGGTGTCTCAATGTCCTCTGTTGATTTCCTTTATCCTGCCTACAACCCTTTATTAAACTCTCTTAAAAATCCACAGTGGAATGTGTCGCCTGCTTCCTGCCTGGAGCAGGATGTAACTGTGAACGAGAGACAGTTTACGTTCTGGTGGGGAAAGCAGACGATAAATTAGCCAACAAATAAATAAGCAAGATAGTTTCAGAGACCAGTAAGTGACATGGAGAAATAAACAGGGCTTGAGACAGGTAGATCGGGAGGCCCACGCTAGGTAGGCTTGTTGAGGAAGCCCTTGCCGGAGTCTTTAGGAAGGCAGCTCAGATGGGGGGTGGCTTGTGCAGTCAAGGGGGCAGCGAAGTCCCTAAGGCAGGGAGGTGGAGGACTGCATGGCTGCAGCAGACTGCGCAGGGAGGCAAGTGGGAGACAAAAGATCTGAGATTCAGGTAAGGCCAGATAAGGAGTTTGGGTTTTATTTAAACTACAAACATCCCTCGTTTGTTCATAAATTCATTCATTCATTCATCCATCAAACACTGACTGTCCTGCTTGTCTAGAGACTGTGCTGGAGGATTTTCAGTGAGGTACATGTATGAGCCAACATACACGTGGGATGGAGCTGTCTGGTCTTGACACCTCTGTCTACAGCGTCTAGGCCCACAGCTTGGGCTGGTATGAAAGTCCCAGACGCACACTGCTCACAGCAGGAAGTCCTGGTCAGCCCTGCACCAGCTCCCGGAGCTGGGGTGGGTGGAAGGGCTGCCCCTTCCCTCAGCCTGGGGACCCTATGGCTTGAGGATCCCCCACCCCTGCCTCACCCACAGCTGGGAGGGTCCTTTGAAAGAGACTCTCCTGCCATGCGGCCTCGGGCATTGGCAGGAGACCTCCAGGTCCCCGGGCCTCCAGCAGGGCTGGCCCCACTCTACCAGCTCTAGATATCCCGGTCAGAGACCAGACCTTTGCTCTCCAAGGCGCTGAGCCCGCAGCGGGCAGGGCCCAGGGACCAAGTCTCACTTGCCGCTGGTTCTTTTTTTTTTTTTTTTTTTAGACAGAGTCTCACTTTGTTGCCCGGGCTAGAGTGCCGTGGTGTCAGCCTAGCTCACAGCAACCTCAAACTCCTGGGCTCAAGCAATCCTACTGCCTCAGCCTCCCGAGTAGCTGGGACTACAGGCATGCGACACCATGCCCGGCTAATTTTTTCTATATATTTTTAGCTGTCCAATTAATTTCTTTCTATTTTTAGTAGAGACGGGGTCTCGCTCTTGCTCAGGCTGGTCTCGAATTTCTGAGCTCAAACGATCCGCCCGCCTCGGCCTCCCAGAGTGCTAGGATTACAGGCGTGAGCCATTGCGCCTTGCCGCTGGTTCTGACAGCTAACCTGCTGGGTCTGTGCACGCTGCTCGGCACGTGGTAGGTGCTCACTGACTAGTTACCACCTGCTGTGTACCGCGTGCTCACACGTGCCAGGCACACACAGGTGCTTCTTGTGAATCATCTCATTTGACTTTCAAAACACCTCAATAGGAGAGAGATTATTTTTATGCCCATTTTAGAGTTGAGGAAAACAAAGTCCAGGTAATTAAGTGATTTGGGAAAGGTTACACTATGTAGTGGGATGAATATGTCTCCCCAAAATTCATATGTCGAAACCCTAATCCCCAAGGTGATGGTATGAGGAGGTGGGGCCTTGGGAGGGGACTAGGTCACGAGGGTGGAGCCCCCGTGATGGGATCAGCCCTCACAGAGGAGGCCAGGGAGCTCCCTGCCCTGTGAGGACCCTAGAAGGTGGCATCTGCAGCCCAGAAAGGGTCCTCACGAGACACCAACCAGCTGGCACCCTGATCTTCGACTTCCAGCCTCCAGGACTGTGAGAAGTAACTTTATGTTGTTTGTAAGCCCCCCAGTCTTTGATAATTTGTTATAGCCACCTGAACCCAGGTACCTCGTCCCCTCCCAGACGGCATGGCAGGTCAGAGGGCAGGTCAGAGGGCAGGCACCCTCAGCCCACGTCCGCTCCCGCTCTGGCGTCACAGGCTCCGACAGGCAGTTCCCACTCCCTGCCCCCCTCTCTCTCTCTCTCTCAGAGACGGTCAGTCCTTCTCTCCAGCAGCTGTCCTGGGGCAGCCTGTGACAAGGGCGGGGGAGGTGGGGGGGGTCACTGCTGCCCCCAGGCCCCTGCTCCAGCACCCCCGAGCACTGACAGCCCATGGCCCCGTGGCCGTGTCCCCCCAGCACTGGGTGACCGCGTGGGCCCAGATCACACCTGCAGTGAGAACCTTTCTCAGGTCGCTGAATTACCTGAATTTTGTTTTCCTCAATTCAGAAATGGACATTAAAATAGTATCTTTCCTGTCTTTTCTTTTTTGAGAGTCCCGCTGACGGTCACCCCTCTCATGTGCGGGCGGCTCAGTGCCTGCTCAGGAAAGGCTGGGGCTGCCCCTGCAAGGCCTCCCCACAGGCCGCCTCTGGCCCTTCCTGCCGCCCAGCTGTGACCTGAATGGGAAGCTAGGGTGGCTCCTGCCCCAATCAGCCCGTCTCCAGTCCTCGAGGCTCCGGCCGCCAACCCTGATCACCAGCTTCCCTTCCCACCCCGTAGTCGAGCCCAGCGTCCTCGCCTCATCGTCCTGGCGCCAGGCAGCCCCGGCACTGGGGAGGAGACACCACCCTAGACAAAGCCAAAGACGGAGCTCAGCCTGGGGCATCCTTCCCCCTGTGCAGGGTTCCAGCTCCCTGCACGGCCACGCTCACGTGTGTGCCCAGGTTGATCGAGGTGGTCGTGGGGAGCCATGTCCTCACTCGAGGGGGAGCTAAGCTTCCCTCCCGCAGCCCTCGGTCCTGCCCTGGCTTCCTGCCCCTGCCACGGAGGAAGCACTTCTTTTAGCAGCTGCTGGTGATCGAGGGATGCAACGGAAGGAGCCGAAACAACAGAGAAGAGCTCAGTGCGGAGCTGCCCCCGCCTGGGCCTCGCCTCCCCCGCGGGGGTCCAGCTGCGCAGCCCTGGGTAAGCAGCCTGGCTCCCTGCAAGGCCGGCCTGGCCCGGGAGCCAGCGGGAACAGGGGCAGAACCTCCCACCTGGAAGGGGCCAAGCTGAAGTTTGGGTGCCTGGAGCACCCTGGAGCTCTTCCTTCTGAAGGGCCAGGCGGGAAACGGACACAAGTGAAGGGATGGGTGTCGAAGGATGCCCACCTCAGAGTTGAAGACGACTGGGAGTGGTGGGGACTGAGGCAAACTGGACAGCCCCGTGCAGGGCTGCTGCAGCCTTCTGTGGCACCTTTGTGCAAATAAGAAAACGTCCACCTCTGGGGGCGACACAGTCCTGAACTAGGATCATGGTGTGGTGGGCGAGGAGAGGCTGGGTTTTAACTATCCCCTGCTTCCCCCGAACCCCAGCTCTCTGCATGCATGTCTTTGTGCAGTGTATAACCTGTGCAACTGTACACGGTGCACCTGGCCCCACATAACAGGGATGGCTACTCAGCTCCAGCCCTGTAGGAACGAGCGCTTCATGTTGCTACAGTTTCCGGTTTTTGAAGGGCAGCAGAATATAGGGATCATGTGAAAAATTCTGGTTTTTAAATGTTGGCAACAAATTCACCCTGTGGGCCAAACAAAACCCATCTGTGCTGATGGCACCAAGGGAGGGCACCTCAGGCCCACCCTCTTGGTGCCTGCAGGAGGGGCTTCTCCTGCTCAGACAGTGCCCACCTCCCACCCCAGGGCCGGGGTGGCTCAGGCCACAGCGCCCTACCGGCTTGGGGCAGTGGATGTAGCGCGCCAGGCTGATGATGAGGTCGTGAGTGATGGGGTCCACCAGGTTGCGGAAGCTGGCATAGCGATACAGAACGTCGTCCAGGGAGGTCGACTCCATGCCCAGGTCCTGCAAAAGCAAGGGGTGCCCAGAGGTCAGGGTGGCTGCCCCACCCACTTCGCCTGGCACTCCCAGGAGAAGCGGGCACAGGCCCTGGGTGCCCCTGCCGGTGGCTCGGCTTCCCCCAGAGCCCTGGCAGGGAAGCATCTGCAGAACTTCCCTCAAGGGGCCTGGACGGGCCCCTGCCGGTTTCTCCTCCTCTGCAAGCTGAGGAAGAGAAGGGGCGGCACGTGCAGGTCCCAGTCTGTGCAGGTCCCGGTCTGCGGGCCTCTCCTGTGAGAGCCCCCGGAGGGTGAAGCCGAGGGTGGCTTGCCACCGTGCCAGTGGCGGCTTCAGGGGCAAAATCTGGAACCGGCATGCACAACAAAACTCCTCTGCCTTGTGACAGGACTGTTCATTGATATATATTTGTTGTCTTCCTGCTTCTGAAGTTGTATTTACTGTTCCGTCTGTAGATGACACAACCTCTGTGTCCCTTTGCCTGGGGGGCTTCTGCGTTGTGGGCTGTAGGGAGAAACTGCCAGGCACCCAGAAGCAATCCCGCCAGGACTCCCTCGGGAAGGGTATTAGGTGGGGTCCCCTGTTGGGAGGGCGGGGGTGGAGTCAGTGGCAGAAGCTGTTGGAGCAGAGGTCCGCAGGGTCTGGGGAGGGACGAGGGTCTGGGGGCTTCAGGACACACTGCTCCAAAATACGGCATGTTGACATCTGAGGAAACAGCAGAAGCAGGAAGGTCTCTGACCACCTTCAAAGGGGCCGTCAAAGGATTCTCTGTCCTTCCTCTAAGGTGGATCATGAACCCCTTGAGCTGGAGGAGTTACCTGCTTTAGAGAAGCAAAGAAGCCTTATTTGTCTACCCAGGGGAGTTGGACTAAACTGCGCCTCTCTATGTGCAAGAATGTGGGCACAGCTCCTGCCCTTCTTCAAGCCCCCTTCCCCAAATCCTGCCGTCCCTGGGTGTGAGCCGTGGTCCCCTCTGTGGCAACTTGCATAGACCAGGTAATGATGACATTCCCACCCGGAGAACAAGGGGTGCCCTGGGTGGGCGGGGAAAGCAGGCCCACCCACTGTGTTCACTCCAGAGCTGCCCCAGCACAGCCCAGAGAAGGCCCCAGCCTGGGTGGCTAGGGCCCAACAACCTTGGGATGGGGAATGTGTGGGTGACCAGCTGAGTTCCAGCAGGGGCTTGCTTCTTGTTTAGTTGGGATATTCTGATCTTTCCTAAACACCTTCCCCACGTGATCCTTAGACTCCCTGGAAGGCGGGCAGGCTGGGCCGAGGCCCACAGCAGCTGACTTCTCCAGCTGTCACGATTTCAGGAAGGGTGGGGTGGGCCCAGGCCCCCGCCTGGGGCCTGTTCTGCACAGATCCCATCTGCTCTTATCCCGCAGGGGCAAGCAGGGCAGGAGGTGGGTGGAGGGCAGGAATTTGGCTCTGCAGTTTGGTGGCTGGCATTTCTATGAGCAAATAAAAAAGGGGTCTTTGCTAGGTGGATCTGGAGGGGCCATGACGCCCCGGCCTTTCTCCTGGGGGCAGTCCCTCAGAGCCCACGTGCCAGCCAGGTCCTACCTGCACGGTTAGGGGCACTCTGCTCCCTGCCCCTCGTTACAGCTTCATTCCCATTTCAGTGAGGACACGAGGGGCCGGTCTGGAGGGCTTTGTTTTTCACATGGCAGGAATGAACCTTGCAGGCAAATAGCCAGCCCTGCCCCAGGTTCTCTGGCTGCTGACATAATTCCCAGGGACCTGGATCCAGGGCTCAAGGTCTGGCGTGGATGCAGTGGCAGGGAGCTTCTGCGCTGGCTGCCAAGGTCTAGACCCAGCCCCTGTAGCACCAAGTATAACACTGGCCTCAGACCTCTGGCCCTGCCCTGCGTGTTCCATTCTTCAGCCAGTGCTGTGTCCAGAGGCGAGCGACCTAACATCACTGAGCCTCAGTTTCCTCCTCTGTAAAATGGGACAGTGACTCCATCACCAGTAGGTGAGAGAAACAACACCAAGTAATACATGTAAAGCCTCTGACAGGGAGGAGAGTCACCAACAGTGGCTCCCCTGAGCCCACTTCCATTTCTTTATTTCTGCCCCTTCCTTCTGGAAAGACCCCTCCTCCCCTTATGCACAGACCCATTTGGGAATGTGTCAAAAGCCACGACCTCTCTTCCTAGAAAAACACAGGGCAGGGCAGGGACCTCGAAACATGCAGTCCATGCTGGCCTTGTGGTCAGGAGTGTGTACAGGAGCTGTGTGGACCTGCAGGACCCCAGGACACAAACCATCACCCAGGAACATGCAGAATCACAGCCGCGCCTCCCTGGGGTGGGAGGAGGCTGGGAAGGTGGGAAGGCTGAAAGTCAAGGGCTTGTGTCTTTAGGTCTCAGAAGGCCCGGGTGGCCAAAGGGGCTGTGGTCCGGCATCTGGATTCCCAGCCAGACCCTGCTTACGGCTTAAGTCTCCCCTTCCCTGGAACAGGGAGGTGGGGGAGGAGGGCAGAAGAAGAGGGTGGAAATGGGTGGTTACTGCCAAGGTCAGAGACTGGACTTGTAGCCACAGGGAGGAGGTCAGAGGGTTGGAATAGTTTTTCTTTTACAGGCTGTCTGCAAGCTGGGACACTCCTGTGTGGTTGTTGATGTGATGCCAGCCTCTGTCCCTCCTCCACTTTGCCCCTGCATATCTCCCTCTGTGTGTACCCCTGGCACCTAGTGGTCTCCCCTTACAGCCATCCGTGCTGCCTGTCCCCAGATGTCCCTGGGAGAAAAAGCTGTATTCTAGGCCCTGGCTGGAGCCCAGCTCACTGTGAGTCTGTGGCAGGAGACTTCCCACTTCCCTCTTGGGACCTCTTTCCCCATCTGCGAAATGGGTAGATGAATGGCACTAGTAGTTATCGGGCTGTATTCCGAGATCTTGGAGCAAAGGTGGGCAAGAGCAGGGCGAGAAGAGGCAGCCACGACGCTTAGCTGAGCAGCTCAGACAGACAGACAGACACACAAAGCAGTTCTGTTGCCGAAGAAAAGCTTGAAGAGCCTTGACTAGATGACCGCTCAGGTTTCTCATGCTCCTACCAGCCCCGTGTCATCTTCCCAGACCCCCCTCCCCATTTCAAGGCCAGTTGAGGCCGTCCTGTCCTGGAAGGACGAAGAAAACCAAAGGTGCCAACTCAGAAGGCTGGGGCAGGTCTGAGAAGATGCTGAATGTCCTTCCTCAGAGCCACGCTGCCGCCATCACCTCCACCTGTCACCTGGGCGCCCAGCGTGCTGACAGCGGCTCCATCTCTCTGCAGTGCTGCCTTCTGGGTTCGTGCAGTTGTTGCTTAGGAGGGGGAAGGACAGGGAGGCACAGGAGGGCAGCGGGGGTCTCCCAAGAAGGCAGCTCTGGGTCACTGTTGAGTCATGGCCAACTCCCTCCCAGCTGGGGTGGGGCTCCCCAAGGTCCCAGGGCTGCAGCAGGGAAAACCAGATGGAGACTGGCCAGAGGCCGCTCACACTTGATTGCTTCCTTTCCCTATTTCTACCCCGCCTAGGTCCACAGAACGCTTGTGCCGTTTCAGGGCACTTCAGGTCCTGAGGACTTTGGCCACATCTGGTCTCCTTGGTGTCCTCTCCATACCCCCCACAAGCCAGTTTATTGGGTTGACTGTGTCCCCGCCCACTGGGGGCTGCTCAAGGGGCTGGGTAAGGGGGGGAGCTCACCAGACCCTCAGGTGTCACAGAAGGCTGCAGCCTGGGCCATAGCCCCAGGAAGGGGCCCTCTCTGCCTCTGCACATGGCCGGCACTGACACCGCCCACGGGGACTCTGACACTCCGCTCTGCCCTGGCTCTCAGGACGAGATGGGGGGCACCCGAGGCCTGCTGCACGCATGAGGGGCGTGAAGAACTCGATGCGGATGTGGTTCCTACAGGCCCCAGCCTTGGCGGGGCTGGTTTGCCTTGCAAAGCATGAGGCATCGAGGAAAAGCCCATCTTCCTCACCATGGGTCTGAACCGCACCCCCTCTAGGAACCAGGCATGTGGCAGTTCCTCATTGGAAAGTCTGGGAATACCAGCAGGTGCGCCTGAGTCGCCGCTGGAGGGGAGTGACGCTTAGCAAGTGTGGCTGGCCTGGCATTGAGTCACTCACTGCGGCAGACGCATCGCGAGGAAGGGGGCCCCACACGGCCGCAGCGCAAATAACCGGGTTTGGGGGCTCGCTGCAATGGGGCCAGAGATGGGGCCCGGGACTAGGGGTATGGATTTCCAAAAAGTGAGTAGAGAGTCACATGGGTGGGGTGGGGTTAGAAGAACATTTCTCAAAGTGGTGTCCGAAGACCTTGGGGAGGAGCCATGGAAACCGTTTTAAGGGCACAGCTGGGTCCTCTTTTCCGTCGATATAGCTGTGTGGTGCCAGATTTTCTTCCATCAGGGAACCTGCTGCAAGACCCGAATGCAGAGGCAGCACCGCTGAGAACGCAGCTGTCTTCTAGGAGGCCAGGCGTGCAAGACAGTCACAAAAACGGGAAGCAACACCACTTTTCTGACTTAAGTTTTTTTCCTTTGGAAAATAGTTATTTTTGTAAAAATTTATTTCTTCCGCATGTGAACGTATTAATTTTAAATGAATGAATAAAGAAATCTTTAAAATTTCTTTGTTTTAATATCTAACACGGTAACTAGCATTAGATATGTGATACGACCCACATAGAGAAAACCTCTTTAAGGCCTTCAATAATTTTTAAGAGTATAAAGGGACCCCGAAACCAAAAACGCTTTGAGCCGCAGGCTTAGAAGAATGTGGTCCTTGGGAGAAAGAGGCTGAGGGTGGGGAGCCAGGTTAGGAGCTGGGGAACCCCTGGGAAGGGCTGAGCTTCTCCAGGCTGTCCCTTGGGGTCCCGGGAAAACTGTTGACACACAGCTCTGTCCCCTGTCACTCTGACACGTTAGCAAGGCTCCCGGTCTGCAGACACAGTTCCGTGTGGTGGTGCTGAGAGGTCCAGAGGAGCCCGTGCCCACCCTGGTGTCTGGCAGGAGTCACAGCCAAC